GGACAGGGATGAAATAGGTTCCATTATTGCCAAACAGACTTTATAGCTTCCAGACAATGCTTTTTGGACTCCGCAAAACAACCGCCACTTACCAACGCCTTATGCAAACTGCACAATTTGGACGGTACACAAGACATTTTATAATACACTTGGATGGCATTCATGTCTTCGGCAGTGATAATAGAGAACACAACGCTAATCTTAGAATGGATTTAAAGTCACACCCGCATCTCGTAGACAGTCCAGAAACAGAGAAATGCCGGTTCTTGCAACGTCCGGTCAACTGCCTGAGGTATACTGTCTTGCCAGATGGCATGGCACCTAATGAAGTATGTACAAAGCAAACGAGACCCTGACCAACACCAACCGCTCAGACGGAAATTCGAGGTTTCGTAGGCCAGTCGGTTTTCCCTAGGTGTTTTGATTAACGCCTTGCCAAGATTACTCGGAGGCATAGAAGTGTTTCAACTAGAAGAAGAATCAGCTAATAACGTACATTTAGCAGCAGGAAAGTGGTGCTTGCACTCATTTTGCTTTACTAAAATTTCATGGCACAAATTCCTTTCCTCATGCGGCATTGTGGCTTCCGGTGTAAGTGTGCTAACAATTCTAGAAGCACTAGTATCAGTCTAAGTGTACGCTTTATTTAAGGAATAGTTTGACTTTCAACGCCCTTTACACTAAATCCTTGGCGTAATTTAATTTACTTCTGGAGAATAGTAAAAACAGAGAAGCCACCAATCACCTAATTCTGGACAGTAAATTTAAAAAAAACCCGAAGAGGATAGAGGACGGACAATTGCTTCTTAAATAAAATGCATGTGTGAATGCACCACTAATTTGTATCAGTGATATCTATATATTTGTGTAAGCGTGTGCAATTGCGATTAAGTTTTTCGTAATTTTAAATTTTTTTGCTCTTGCATGCGAGATTTAAGCCATATTTAGTAGAGTTGGTGGTAAGCGTTGCAGGACTGTAATAAGCGTAAGAGTTAAATGCTCTCCTCGT